CCCCCCCCCCTCCAAATTTAAAGTTGCACACAAAAAAGAATATAAAAACATACACGCATGCAAACATGCGTCGGGGGCGCATACGTGCAAGAACGACAATTGTGCCCAATACGCCACGCATGTTACATATCGCCGCGAACGTCACAGTAAGAGCAATAATTTTAGGGCCATCAATCACTGATAACACTAAACTGATGAGCGGTAAAAGCTTTTAGCGTCGCCTATGACCAGTTTTGGGTATGGTCATTTTGCGGGTGCGCCCAATTTTAAAGCTTGACATGTTTGGTGTCTATTTACCCGATGTGACCCAGACTTTTATATTTTACCAAAAAACTGGGTAATAATAAATGTTTCCTAACAATGTAAAAAAAAAACCTTTTTTTTTTCACATTTTTCAGTAATTCTATCTATCTGTCCCTAAAAAATGGTATAAAATGTATTTCAGTACAGCGCTGCATGACGGAAAAAACGTCAGTCAAAGTACCGCAGCGCTGAATACTGAAAAATGGCCTGGCCAGGAAGGGGGTCTAAGGAAGGGGGTGTAACACCTGGTCTTCAAGCGGTTAAAAGGTTTTCTCAGGGAATGAATGTTGAAGTTTATTCTGTTTTTTGGTCTTCCTTGGCAGAGATTATCAGAGTCGGGGACAACAAGAAAGTCCACCAGGTGGAGCTGATCCCACAAGAGCAGCTCATTGCCGTCATTTCCGGGAGAAATCGCCATGTCCGCCTCTACCCCTTGGCGTCCCTGGACGGCAGAGAGACTGAGTTCTTCAAGCTGGCTGAAACCAAGGGCTGCCAGGGCATCGCGTCTGGCCAGGTGCGGCACGGCACCCTCACCTGCCTGTGCGTCTCTATGAAGAGGCAGGTTCTCTGCTACGAACTGAACCAAAGCAAGACCCGCCACAAAAAGATCAAGGAGATCCAGGTCCCGGGCAACGTCCAATGGATGGCCATATTTAACGAGCGCCTGTGCGTGGGTCATCAGTCGGGGTTTATCAGGTACCCGCTGCACGCAGAGGGAAGTCCTTCCAGCCTCCTCCACAACGACGACCACACGCTGTCCTTCATCACGCAGCAACCCACGGACGCCATATGCGCGGTGGAGATCTCAAATAAAGAATACCTGCTGTGTTTTAGCAGCGTTGGGGTTTATGTTGATTGCCAGGGTCGGAGGTCGCGACAACAGGAGCTGATGTGGCCGGCGGTTCCTACTTCTTGCTGTAAGTCGATTGCCTAGAACGTCCCTTGTGATAAGTTGCTGGAAGTCAATGGGTTTGATATTGTTATCATTGTGGAATATTGAAGGGGCTTTTCTATACAAAGAGACTCAGATGTGCAATTACCGACACAGCTATCTGTTAGGGGAGCATTCTACCCACTGACCACCAGTATGAGGAGCATTCTACCCACTGACCACCAGTGTAAGGAGCATTCTACCCACTGATCACCAGTGTAAAATGTATTGTACCCTCTGACCACGAGTGTAGGGAGCATTCTACCCACTGATCACCAGTGTAAGGAGCATTCTACCCACTGACCACCAGTGTAAGGAGCATTCTACCCAATGGCCACCAGTGTAAGGAGCATTCTACCCAATGGCCACCAGTGTAAGGAGCATTTTACCCAATGACCACCAGTATAAGGAGCATTCTACCCAATGACCACCAGTGTAAGGAGCATTCTACCCAATGGCCACCAGTGTAAGGAGCATTCTACCCAATGGCCACCAGTGTAAGGAGCATTCTACCCAATGGCCACCAGTATAAGGAGCATTCTACCCAATGGCCACCAGTGTAAGGAGCATTCTACCCAATGGCCACCAGTGTAAGGAGCATTCTACCCAATGGCCACCAGTGTAAGGAGCATTCTACCCAATGGCCACCAGTGTAAGGAGCATTCTACCCAATGGCCACCAGTGTAAGGAGCATTCTACCCAATGGCCACCAGTGTAAGGAGCATTCTACCCAATGGCCACCAGTGTAAGGAGCATTCTACCCAATGGCCACCAGTGTAAGGAGCATTCTACCCACTGACCACCAGTGTAAGGAGCATTTTACCCACTGACCACCATACTATTCTAACAGGAGCTGTAGATATAGTAATTACTGGCATGGGTTCCCTGAGACCTGAAAGTTTTTTCACGGGTTCCTTCATGTTAAGAGGGTAGAACAACTAGAGAGGACTAGTCTTGTTGTC